ATTTAAGAGATAAAATAATAATTAATGGTTAAATTATGGGTCAAAAATATAAATTTCTAAAAAAATAAAGTTATACTATATATATAAGTGTTTGACTGCCACTTTTCTTCTTCCAGTGTGCTGTCGAGAGAGTGAGAGAGAGAAAGGTGAATATTGTTTTATTTTTTTTTTTTTTCATTCTCAGATCTACGAAGATTGACCCGTTTAATCGCTTCGGTCAAGAATTAAAGTTGCTCTACTCAGCGAGAGTTACGCAACCACACCAAATATTATATTTTTCTCTAAAAGAATATCAAAGACGATAATTTAGACTTAAAATTTGGGAAGTTAAATTGGGCTTACTCGAAATTTCAGTACGTGTGCTCACGCTACGAGAGGTAGGGTTTCCCCTATTTAGATTTACTTTTAACCTAAAATATAGCATACGAAATGAGTAGGCTATAGGTGTATATCGCATGTTAAGTCTTAACTAGTGTAACTAGTGGGTCAAATATATAATTTATAATTAACTTTGTAATTAGAAAAATCCTATTATGATTAACTTGGTGTAAGTTAATGTTAGTGGTTTAAAACATGTTAATTGTACATTAGCATTATTATATGTTTTAAATGACATATCAAGTTTAATAAATTATTAGCTTTATTATGGAATAATATGTATGTTAAATGATTATTTAGCATATAATTATTGTGGTGGACTTGTGCTTACGTTTATAGAATTGATAAACATGTTGTCATGTTGAAAATGTCATTATATTGTATTCTTTATGTAATGAACATTGTAAATAGTATTAAAGGCAATTGCATATTGAAATGTTATTATGCATGAGTTATATTACATTCATGAGCATTGACATGAGTGAGAATGTATGCATGTGATGAAATCAATCACCACATAAGTGGTTGATTATGGGCTCGAAAAAGTCGCACCAAGGTCCGGCTGAGTCACACGAAAAATTAAATGGATAAACGTGTCGGGAATAGCAAGAAAGGTTAGATTCTCCCTCGGGTGCAAGATCCGCTTACTTGGTTTATACACTTTTCGGCGGTAAAATTTCCGAAAAGTGTAACGGCCAAAACGGCACCGCAGGTGGGATGTTCTAAGAATCCGTTAATGATTGGTGTCTCATTGGTGTAATATCATAAATCATCTCTACACAAAGACACAAGAAAATAAATTAATTAGTCATTGAATGTACATAACTCTAATTACGGAGGCTTGGAATGCCTAGATATATACGCATGTCGTTGCATGTGTTGTGAGAGTTCAGGATGGGCCTTGGTGTGGGTGTTGCTTGCATGAGTCTCATTTCATGGCATGACATGATTTATGACATTTGTTCATAATTGACATGTTTGAATGAATGCATGAAATAATTGTTGCATGTGACATTTCATATGCATTTAGGTTGAGAGGTATTCTCTATAAGAGTTACCCTATTGAGCGTTGGCTCACCCTTTATGAGAACATTTTTCAGGTATTGCACAGGCGTCCACCGAAGGCGAGGCCATGAGCCTGCTTTGACGACAGAGCCGGTCTGTGGCTCTTCTTTTGACATCGTTGTCCCTTGTTTATAATTACTTTTGGCCTTGTGTAATTTTTGTAACAAAAAACTTGTTTATATTTAAAAGACATGTATAAGAGACTCTTTTGAGACATTTATTCTTTTATGAGTGAATGTACGTAATGATGATAATTATAGTAGTATCTGATACTATGCTAAGGAGTAGGGATGAATGAGTCAGGTGTGATCAATGTTATATGATTGCATATGTTGCGTTTTGGATAGAGCTCCCCGTATAAAGAAGACTCTGCCCAAATTTTGTTAAGTTATGAATCTCGGTAAATGGGGCATAACGGCGTGGTAACGAATTATACAGTATCCACGGGTATTTCGCAGGTTAATGGGTAATTAACCAGATAATTACTAACACCTGAATTTTGGGGTGTCACACACCATGTCATTAACATCAGTATACTTGGGAGATCTTCTAATAGATTCCAATAATAGACAAATGCCAACTTTAAGTGAACTATAGATGTTTCAAATCATGTTGTCATACTGCAGCACCAGAAGAAACAAATTACCTGCCATCAGCAGCACAAGTAACAATGCTTCGATCCTCTGTGTAGGGCATGATTTTTGCATGCAAAACATTGTGATTATGACCTGAGTGGAATGAGAGTTTAACCTGCCCAGCTTCCCAATCCCAGAATAATACCCTCCTAACATCAGAGCCTGACACAAGAATGTCGCCATCTGCGTTGAAGCTAACTGTGTTCACACAACCTCTGTGGTTTTCCAGTTTCCTAAAGAGATCGAGTCGGAGAACAAGGTCCTGAAATAGGAAAAGATGAATTAAAGCTCTGTTCAGATATAAAAATCCTATGTACTGAGCAATGAGAATTACACATTACAAACAAAAACCATCAAGAGAAACATCTGTTGGACACAAAACAATTTACCATTTGACAGTGTTTAAAAATTCATAAACAAACAGCACAATGCAGCCACTCCAAGTATATCACAGCATAGTCTGCCTCAAAACAAGACCAAACAGCATTGTCTTCTTGTAAGGAATTCAGACCTGAATTCTTTGCAGCATCATGATTCAACTTATCATGGAACGGGCCCCAAAAAAGTTGTAAAAATAGAAGGTGATGATAAAAAACAGCATCATATTCAACATGGAACGGGCCCCAAAAAAGTTGTAAAAATAGATTAAACCTAGTGACATTGTGATGATTAAACTTTTAGTTTTGTGCAAGGATCATCACAAAATCAATGCATATCTAGAGGTTCTTAAGATATTAAAATTCAGGACTTAAAAAAAAAAAATTAAATCTTCATTTGTTAGTTTTTAGTCTACCAAACATCACCAAAGTTACAATAACTATGATCCACCACCTGTTTTAACGGTTCACACAAAATTAACAAAAAAGAAACTAAACCATAGTTGACGTAGAAGTTTTTTCCCCATCATTGCAGGGCTCAGTATTCATGTGTTCCAACATTAGACATGTGCATATAAAGACATGCCTAGTGCATATACATTGTTGCCAATACACTTTCACATATACAAAAACCATGGACATAAATGTATGAGATGGGGGTGGAATCCACTACACTGAGTCAATAACAACTATCTTTCTACACCAGGTGTTAAATTAGCAAAATAAAAATCATAGAAAAAGTTGCTGGTGGACTTGTTAATCTTGCATGGTTAAATGGATCCCCCCCCCCAAGGCACGTGGATGATCACATTTATGGATTGGATTTAAACTAAAATGTCTCAGCAAGAAAAGCACCTATACTTGTTTCGCAGGGCAAGCTTACACAGTATTGAGTTGCAAAGCTTGAACCACAAATCCTTGATATGTCTCAAAGCTATCCAAGCATATAAAACCACTCAAACCACCAAATTTGAATAATGTTTCCTCTCGACAAGAATGCTGAAACAATCTACTTGATCAATCTCTTATTAATACAGTAATTAATGCCCACCCAAGCTCAAGCAACACAAATTGCAAAATGTGAATTTCAAATGTTAGCATCAGCACATAGGATCAGCATACACAAGTGCATAAATTGAGCCTTTTAGGAATACGGTAACCATACGCAACATTGTTGTGAGATACTATGAAGAATTTGAAAAGTGAATGGCAAACCAAAGAAATCCAACAGAGGGTTAAGGATAAGATAAAAAAACCTCGGAGGCGCCGAGACGGTGAGCGAAGTTTCTGGTAGAGAGCTCGCCGACTTCTCGTTTCCAAACATCGACAACCGCCGTGTCGAGGCTTGTTCTCGCCCTCTTCCCCATCCTCTGAATATAATTTTTTTTTTTTTTGGAAAACTCTGTGAATGTATACTCAAAATAGGATGTTCGATTCGTTGGTTTGATTTAAGCAAGTGAAAGAATAAATCAAACATATCATTCTATATGTATGTATAAACAGAGAGATCATGCATGGGCAGTTATAAATAAGTTTTTATGTATTTATTGTTATTATTATAATAACTATGCTGGGGAAGACATCGTTTCTGGTCTGTTCTTCGTGTCCTTTTGGGATTTCGCCTTATACCGTTCGGTCTTGGTTTTAAATGTTCGTTTGCATCACTATCAACCAACAGATAAAAGACACACAGTCTCTCTCTCTCTCATGAGTTGAACTATTTTTTTAGCCTTATTTGACTAGGCTCGTTTATATATAAAATAGTTGATTTACGCAGACTCTGTTTGAGTTCGACTTGAATTCTATACAAACTAAAATTGAATAATTTTTAGGCTTATTTCAGAAAAATAAGCTTGCAAACCTCAATTCAATTAACACCGTGGATAAAAAAGTTCTAATTCAATGCTAAGGAAACAAGGAACCATTTCTTGATTTGTGCGAGTATCGTTTGGATACGGAAATATTATATTTTATATCATATTTTTAATTTTTATTCAATAAAAATGTATCACGATAAATTGTCACCCCCAACAATATAGATAATTCCATTTCAAATCCTTTTTTGATCGATGATAAATAATTACTTCAGAATCTACAATTTTATCAATTAAAAAATTTTGTTGTCTTCGTTTTTTGTTTCTATATTAATCAGGTGATATATTTTGCCATAACGAAGCAGATGTCATTGTTTCAATTCTATCATCTGTTCCAAGGGGGAAAAAAACAATTTGGCTCAGTGCATCAATTTGGCAGATGAAGTTGACAAGGCTATGCTCAAAATTGTTTTAAATGATTGGCTAACATGTCCTTTGATCGTGCCAATGTACTTAGGAAAGTGGAATAAGAATTTCCTCCGAAGGGCAATATAAAAAAAAAGAATACAATCGATCGAAAAATTGTAAAAAGATAAGGTGAAAAATCTCCCCCCCCAAAATTCCTATAGGGGTGCTAAACTCTATGATTTGAATTCTTGGGCTACCTCAAATAATCAATGCAGATTAAAGCATCTCAAGCTTCATAATCTTCTATCATTTAGTTTTCTCACTCATGAAGGAGAAGCTTCCCAGGTAGAGGGAAGCCGAGCGGAACTCGCCGTAGGCATGGTGCGAATGTTGATGTCAAGGGGATGCAAGCGGTATTCGATGTCAAGCTCTTTAAAAATTGTAACCATCTGTTCAACCAAAAGGGCTCTCCTTTGCCACTTCTCCCCCATATTTTGGTGGTTCATTCTATGTCTCAGCCATACTGCCATCTTCATCATGTTCAGCCCCTCCAGCTCCATCAGCACAACTGTTGGAGATGCATACCAATGGTCCTTCTTGATTTCAATATAACTGCAATGGCAGCCATAATTAACAAGTATATAATCCATTAAATACGAACATATTATCAGAAATTACATCGTAATTTGAAAGCTTGGATGTTCCTAAACCTACCTTGTTATTTTTTGTTTCATTATGGCAATCTTATCGGCTGGAGTTGCAATATGTACATGGAACTCAACCGCATCTCCCATATCTGGACTACGATAATAATTACTGATGGGTTTTGTTGAAAGAGTACTGTTTGGGAATATAATCTTCTGGTTGTCATATCTCAGAAAGACAGTAGTTAAGATATTCATTTCTTCAACAATCATCTGAAATTCAATGAAATACATACTAGGCCCAAAATATACCAGAAGGGGATAAAACACAAATAAGGAGATATTCACATAAATATATACATATGTTCCAACATAAATTGGTACCTGAACTCCGTCAATTTCACACCGATCACCCACATCGTATGGGTGCATCACAAACAAGAATATGAGAGCTTCAAATATTGTCTTGCATGTGTTGCCAAATATAAATGCCACCACGACGATCTGAGAGCTTACAAAGAGTAGAAATTTGCTTGTTGCAATTTCTAGTATTACAAGGCAGATAACCACAATAGTGATGCCAACCAGTACATTCACCATATGATGAAGTTTGTTGACTGCTGTTTTTGTATCATTAAGTGTCAAGGCAAGCGCTCTTCGTTCTCTAAAAGCATTGACCTGCAAGAATCAGGTGTAACGCACTATCCAATTACTTGCTTGGTCACATTGTACCATAGATCTGTAATGCATGTATGTTTCGTAGAGCCTTGCTTATCATTCAATTAATAAATTGCACCACAGGGAAAGTTGTGTGCATGTGCATGATTTCTTTGTACCCAAAAATTTCAACAACTGCCCCAATTCTTACCACCCAATTCTTCAAGGTTGATTTGCTGATTCTTTCGCTTTCAGATGATCCGTCCATGACACTCATGGTCTTCAAAGCCTCATCTTCTCGCAAGAAACGCATCAAATCTTGCATATAGATGAACCTGCCAGAAAATATATTTTAAGATTCTCAATAATCTGAAACTAGCTACAAGATCAAATGAAGATAATGTAAATTGGCCAGCAGGTGAACCAGTCAAAGAGATGATCAATAGCTTAACTGGATTGTAACATATTACCACCATGAGGCCTACATGGTTGGAGCAGGAAACAGAAACAAAAGAGAATCAGAGATTCTAGCAATGATGAACAGCATGTAGAGACCAACCATTCCATTTATGTGTAATAAAAATTCAAAAAATTGCACATATAACCAATTTGGATTTTATGCAATTAACTGCAAATCTAATTTACTGAATTAACTTATATTTGAACATTGTCCAATGAGTTTATTAGCTGATCAATCCTTTAACTTGAAAATCACTTATCATTGATTGAAGCATGCCCAAGTATGGTGGCTCGGTCTTGTGTGAAGGTCCAGAATACGATCGAAATGCAAAATCTAAATTCTTGCCCAGCTAGAATGAAATCAATGAATGCAGTCAGCTTCAACAGGGAGAGGAATACAAGAAAACAGTAAAGCGGTGGTACATAAAATCTTACTTGGACCTAGGCCTTGCCACATTTTGGAATATCTTCCTAGCCGCCACTTTTGCCTCAAATTCACTTCTAATCTGTGTTGTAGACTCATCTTCTTGTGTTGTATCTAGTATCTGCTCATCCAGGGTAGATATGACACCATGTCGAACTATTTTCACCAGCCTCTTCATATTCCAGGCAGAGATGTTCTTAGGATTCATCCTATGCAAGTGATCAATTGTAATCCCCTCATTCTGATTTTTGGAAATTGGGCCGGAAACTTTAAGGCTCACTCCTCCAACTGGTGCTCTCAGAGGTCCTCCACCCCCTATCACCCTCCCACTCTTAGTTGGTGGGAAAGCATATGCCCTGAGGTCAGGGGGCACGGTAGCCCCTGCATTTTGAAGCTTCCATACCTCAGCCATTGTCCTCTCTTCTTCTTTCTCATTGTTGTGTATTTCAATCAATGGTGGACCAGATAACGTTTCAATCACGTATTGATTGAACAATGAATCCTGGATTCGATCAAAAAAAGTGCTCACATGGAAGGAAGATGCAAGGACTTTAATTATGAGGGTCTTCACTAGCCATAACAATGTAGCCACCAGCATACAAACCATAAGTCTATTCACAAACCAAAGGAACTTATTACTACCCTCAACCTTCTTATCAAACATAGAATGCCAAGCAGTCAAAACCAAACCCAACCAAATGCAGTTCTGAACTGCTTTTCTCACCCCATAAACAAAATACAGAACTCGTTTACGCAAAAGAAAGTTCCTCTCAATAAAGAAAACAACAATTCTAATCCCCCAACCGGACACCAATCTTCCACATATCAGGACAAGAACCAAAACATCCCATTTCCAGAGTTCAAGTCCCCGTAGCTTTTTTTCCTTCCACTTAGAAATTGAAAGAGTACAAATCAAAGCTGTTACAATCAAAACAAGACTAACCCATTGAGCCAGAGTCAATGCATTAAGTTTTGCCTTCTTAAACTCATCAGGAAGATCTTCATCGAATAACGAGTCATCCTCTTCATCGTCACCTAGCTTTCCCAACATCCCAGAAGCCCTACCTAACATCCCAGACCTCATTGGACCTGACTTCCCAACTCTCTGTGATCTCATCTCCGGCTGTGGTGGGTCTATCAACCTCGATTTCGTCTTCATCCTCATCATACTTGCTCTCTTCTGGAACGACGTACACCTCAACACCTCACCGCCACCGCCACCGCCATTGCCATTATTATCATTAACCGCGGGCACATTTGACGATCGCCTCCTGTTATGATGTTGTTGTACGTGTTCATCCTTATTGTCCTCGGATGAACCTTTGTCTTTATACCTCTTTTCAACAGGTTCAGACGCAATATCAACCACGTTTAGTTTGGGGTCTTGGAAAGAAACTCTTAAATCTTTTGAAATCGAAGCTTTACCATTAATATGGTTGCTATTTTCCGTTTCGGAAATAGGCGGAAAATTGTGGTGGTTGTTTTGATGACCATGACGTAGCTCGTCCATCTCCAAATCCATGTCCAACGACATCTCACCCCCAGACGCCATCTGTTTATTCAAAAACTGACCAATCAGCTTCGACGGCGGGTCGTCCACAACGTCACTACGTTTTTGCTGAAACTCAAATCCCTGTCCCCGTCCATTTCCATTGTTGCCACTTCTCTCATCATCTTTCCAGAAATCGTAGGTGGTTTCGTGCCAAATCTTATTATGATCAGCCTCCATGACGTTATTACTGCTAATGTAATCGTCACCGTCTATTTTCACGATAACTTCCCGGCGGTCGTCGTTGAGATCGTTAGAGTTTGTGCTTCTCATTATTATCTGATTATGATCGTCAGTTGTGCTGTCCCGGTGGTGATCGGAGAGAATTGGTTGTTGTTCGCGATGTGTATCGTCGACGACACCACCGGCTGAGATCCTTCTTGAGTGTTTGTATGAACCATGAGATTTAAGATTCTTAAAGGAAGAAGAGAAATCCATTAATCAAAAATCTAAGGTTTTATTTTCGAGTACGCATCTTAGAGAGAGAGAGAGAGAGAGACAGAGAGAGAGCGACCTGTGACGAAGGAAGATTTCGGTTATGGAAACATAACAATATCCTAACAGTATTTCCCCGGTTTCTAAATGGAAGATGTGTATAAGAGCTTGGACGCATGCGGCGAGACCGCCATTAAAGTGGGCTTCAAAATTTGCAGAGAAAATGGAATGTTGAGAATGAAGAAGTGAACGGGTGGCGAAAATGACGAGTTTCCAGTAACAGAACAACATGGTATGTGATGAGACTATATGGTTTTAGTTTAGAGGGGCACCCAAATAAATAACAATAAATTTAGGGTATGTCTCCACCATTTTTGGGAATTGAATCCTTCCTTTATTCAGTGGTTCTAACTATGCGCATAGGGATGCATGTGGAACGTCATTTAAGAACAAAAATGAAATGAATAAAACAATTGAGTAAGACTGTTTTTCAAATTTGTATACCTTTGATAGTGTTTTTCGTTGGACCTCAAAAACGTTACAATATAGTTGTTTCGGTAATATATATATGATATCAAAATAAATTTCAGTGAAATTCCTCTTTATTGGATCACTTATTCAAGTAAAACTTATTTTATGGACACTAGTTTCTTGCTAATGCACTGCTAATTAGTGAAATACAGAGAAAGAGAACAAGAATATTGGAAGCAATCTCTAATTCACTCATGCTATTAGAACCAATATCATAAAATAGACTACAATGTAAACTCCCTCCGATTATGATTTTATAAGTAAACTAGAGATAAATCGTGTTTAAAGTCACTGCACAATGTAAATGATTTTGAGAAAGAAATTAGTAAACGTGGAATGAAGTTATTTGAGACTATTGGATAGACTTATTAAAGTCTGACCTATTTTATATTTTAGATAATCAAGCAAACTATCCAACCCTATATATGGGTGTCGTGACATACCACTTATCCATTTGTTCAAAGCTTAGATGGTTTCTCATTCTCCCAAATGTAATTACTTTGTATAATTTTTCCCATGGGAAACCAATTAAAACATACTACAATTTTAATTTATTTTCTGAACTTTCAATTGTCCCAATTTAGTTCTCAACTATCAATTTTGTCTTCAATAAGTCCTTTCATCTATATATTTTCACCATTAAATCAACGCTTAAATGGATTAGATTAAGCTAATCTCTAGTTGATCCAACTATGAAAATTGATGGAAGAATTTAACTAAGACAATTAAAAGTTCAAGAAAAAAACAGTTGCAACTTTGTTTAAGAAAAAAACTGAAAACGGTTGCAGCTTATGGGTGTTTCTAATACATGAAAATTTAAAAGATGAATTTGAAAAAAAAAATAAAAGAAGAAAACTTGCAAAACATATGGAAGATATGTTTGGAGCTACTTAGAATTGAAATCAATCAGGCACGCACAGTTCCCAGTTTACATCACAAAAAGCGAATGACTAGAATTCACAGAAGTTATAGAACATATCTTCTCACCAACTGATGCTATCATGATACATTGCAGAAAGAAGGACACACTTTCGTAATGTAAATCTATAGCAGGGGAAAAAAATGTTGAAAATTGCTGTACAGTGCAGATGAAAAAGTAGAGAGCAAATGACCCCTAATTAGACGAATGTAAGTATGTTATAAATGTTGCATCTCCTGTCAATGATGTCCCCGTCTGAGAATGGAAAGAAATCCCCCCGATGATTTGTCCTTGTGTCGATCCTCTCCGGCATCTCCAACCTGTTCCACATATTCCAGGCGTCATCTTTATTACCAATGAAGAACGGGATGAAATTTGTCACAAGACAACGAGTTATTTAAAAAAAGACAAAAAAGGAGTTGAGGAAACAGAATAAATGGTCAAAACCAATAATATTGAGGAAGCAAATGGAGTGAGTTAAGCAAATTATTTCTGGAATTTTCTAAACACTTTCTGGAGCTATACTTCAAATGTTTTGAAATTCATTGCTTATAAACAATATAAGAACATCCAAACATGGTTAACATTAGACCAACACCTCCTTCGCTATTTGCTGCAGGATTTCTGTTATCACAGAAAAGTCGGGTCTTAAAGTTGGGTCACACCGCCAGCATCTCTCAAGCAGCTCAGCAAGCTTCGGATGAGCCTGTTTCGGTATAGTAGGCCGTAGACCCTGAAATCAAATCAACGAGAGCGCCTCCATGTCATCTTTTCTCGGCAAAGTAGTAAACATTCAATACATGACAACTATTAACTAGTCTCGAGCATTGGTGGATATCTTGGTAAAAGGTTCTTAATTCCCCCCCCAAAAAAAAAAAAAGGCTAAAAAATATTAGTAATAAACAAGATATTAAGCGAATATAGTGGAGTAGATGTTCACCTTTTGGACAACTCCAACAGCTGCTTGTAACGGGGTCAAGTACTCATATGGAAGCTGGCAAGCCAAAAAGGAAGGAATATAGTTATTAACGTACAGAAGACAATGTGGCTACAGTACCTGATCTGACTTTTGTTTCCATGACACAATACCTTTCCAGTTAGCAACTCCCATAATACGATACCAAAACTAAAGACATCAGCCTTGTGATCATAGGACTTGTGCTCTATAACCTTCAATGCAAAACGAATTAACATAAGCAAATGATGAGATGAGATGGTTGACCTCCAACTGAGAGAATAATAGTGAAATTCACATTGATAATAAATATAATTTATGCCATTCACCAATGCACGCAAGAAAAGAAAAAGCAAAGGAGAAAGGCAAGAGATGTCAGAAATTTTAAGCGGCTATGACACCATGCTGTCATATTGCTTCACAAGTGATTCTTCTCCAATACTGTACTCCCTAACTAAAACGAAAACATCGTAGCCCTAAAATGACCTCTACAACAAAATCATAACAGTGATTGTGGCATAGTTAAAAAAATATTTAAAAATAAATTCAGATCACTAAATTGACTAGAGTTTAAAGTGCCACCCACTTCAAGGGAAACGGGAGGGGAGCCAGACTGACAACAGAAAGAACTGAATCAGTCTAATGCTGAAACTACTAACCTTGTACCACATGACCCTACAGATGCTGATTGAATGATTCACGAAAGATAGAGGGAGGGGAGAGTGGGGAGGGAGGAAGGCACATTTTACGAGCAAGCCAAAGAGACCTGTGACAGTATAGAAGCAAGTTGCTGGAAGGCAAGAAACAGCAAATTTCTTAAGCGGCTATCAAACCATGTCTTCACCACTGCTTCACATTTGTTCATCTTACACATTTTCAGAACTCTAGTGCACCAACAAGGCTAGTCTTTAGTAACCTCCAGAAAATCATAATAACGACCACTTTGAACTGTACCTAAATTCTCCACCACAACTAGTTGTTAGATTGATTAGTGTCTCCTACCACCCTCAAGGTGTGAAGGTATAGAGATCAGACTTGTTAGGACAGCAGTGTTCATGTGACACAAGTCACACAACTGTGTAGCTAAAGAAAGTAAATCATCAAAATGACTGGACTGGTGTGGCTCCAATGAAGAAGCCCACAATCTCAAATCACATGAAAAGGAGTGTAGGAAAAGCAAACTACTATAAAAACCAACGTTGGTGGTTTAATCATGCAGGTGTGGCAACTACAAAACAAGCATCACATGCAAAGTTTTAAATCTGTACCAAGGACACTTAAAACAGATATCAGTTCACAAAAAATTGAATAGTAAAAGCTCTAACACTCAATGTACAAAAGGTGCACCTCAGGAGCCATCCACCGATATGTCCCAGTTTCTGCCGTCATAACTCCAGTTTGAGCTTTCACTCTGGCAACTCCAAAATCAGCCACCTTAACCACCTGAAGTCCAAAGCATAAGGTAAAAGGCAAGATAAGATAGATGAATTTGCAGAGGGATACCAGGCCCAAGGGGAACTCTTACTATCAAGAAGAAATGAAGGTGATACATCTATTTGTCCTACGACAGACATTAACAATTAACAATGACAGGACTTTTTTTTTTTTCTTATGGAGGGGGTGTCAAAGATATATGTATTTACTTTCGTAGTAAACATTCAAAACTTTTCACACTGTTCCACAGTTACATAGATAAGTTCTGTACTGTAGAAACAGACAAATGAGATCCAAGATGCCGGAAATTCAGAGTCTAAATCACAAGTATGGAACAAATAACAATAAGAGAGCATCTTACTTCATTCTCATCCATCAGAAGATTTGCTGCCTTCAAGTCCCTGTGAATTATATTATGCTGATGCAAGTAGTTCATTCCTTTTGAGATATCGATTGCTACTTTTAGCAAAGATGGAAGCTTAAAAGTACCCTTTAGTTTGTGTAGATAGTCATACACACTTCCACCAGACATATATTCTGGAACGAAGAAAAAAGTAAGGTAGAAAAGATAGCATGAAAGTTTTAACTGAAATTAACCATAACAAAGTCAATTCCTTAAGCAACAACTCGTGCATGTGTGCATCACACAGGTCATCTGTAAGAAACTTGGAATATACCTGTTACAATGCACAAGCTAGGAGGTTTTGTGCATGCACCTATAAATTGTACAACATTCTTGTGTCGAACTTTCCTGCAAGTGCCAAAAAGGAGTCACTGAAGCAGAGATGTGCTTTCTTATGAGCAAAAGCTCAATCAATTGAACAATAGGGCCAGCATTCATGCCTAAAATAACTATCACAGCGAAAACTGGAGAAATCGGAACAATAAAATAACTCTATCACAAGGAAAACCAGAGAAACAGGAACTATAAAATAACTTTATCACAGGGAAAACCAGAGAAACTGGAACTACACATTAATTCTTTTCTAGAAAGAGAGAGAATTAAAAGTCCTGCCAAGTACAGTTGACAAGATCTCCGTACATCTTCCTGATCAGGTGGTAGAACTGGACCCACTGTATGCATGTATCTGTGCACACTGATGTCAATGAATGCGCGTGCATGGAACAACCAACCGCCCCACCCCACCCGCGCCGAAAAATAAAAAAAGAGTTAGATAGAGAGATAGGAAGGTGAGAAAGAATACAGATGGAATAGCAGTTTGGAATGGAAATTACAAAGTGGTTCTCTCTCTATCCCTCGGAATTCATGCAAAGCCAATTCACTGCCAATAGTTGGCACATTTAGTTACTTAAAATATTGAATTGGGTAGAAAACAATGTCCTTCCATATCGCTGCCCTCTATTTGAGAACCCACAATACTATCAAAATATTGGCCTGGTACTATTATATTGGTCTCGGAATATACTTTTACTTCTACACACATACCATATAAATTTATAATAAAAAAATAAATGCTTGGACATAAACATATAACGCAAATATGAACATCATATTCCGTTACTTCCGTATTATAGCTTGCACATATAACCACCAAAACAACATTCTGACCAACATATCATGGGCTGCCTCTTGAATACCCCACATCATAATATTATCCCCAACATAAAAACAGGATTAAGAAACCATTCTGGTTATCAGCATTACCTAGAACAATTGATATATTTTAAGTGAATCTCAAGGTTAATTTAATAGAAAAACAGGAAATCAAAGATAGATCCTAAGAAGGCCAACTAGTGCAGCTCACAGCAACAGAGAAAATTTTCACTAACCTCATAATATATACTTCTTGTGCAAACTCTCTTTGCACGTCTGAACTTACACACTCAGCCTTGAGGACTTTGATGGCTACTTCTTGAGTACGGTATGTACCCCTGTACCTAAAACAATCGAAAGATACAGTTAGTTGAACTCAAAACACCCCAATTACTGGCTTGAGTGGGATCTAATTCCATCACAAAGGCAGGCTTCAATTCTTGGTTGGGACATGGATGCATATTTACTAACTTAAGGAGGAAAAAATAATGAGGACTTCGAGATCAAATAGAATATTTTTCATTCCATTCCTCGTGAGCCACTTATTTCTCTGAAACAAGAGATCAAATGATCTTCCTCCTTTCTCTCAAAAAGTCAACGGCGTTACACCAGTGGGATACTGCGAATAAACTGGAGTAAAAGAAAATGTGCCTGGAAACTGATAAACTTACAAGTCCCCATATGACCCAGATGCAATTTTGCTCTCAAATTTCAGAAATCGAGGATCAATTTCCCAGACATCCGTGCCATCACCAGGAATTGTCAAAAGATCAGGTTCGCTTTTTATCAGTGACTGATCATGCTCACCTAGAGAAGAAAATGACAGTTGATTTGGCCAAGATTGCTTCTGCATAGCAACACAAGGCATCCTAGTTCAAATCAATGCATCACTTTTCTGTAAGGTAAATTGGCATAAAAAGAAAAACACATTCAACAGACAGCATGATGACCCACACCCCCTGGGTGGGTGGTGGCAAAGAAAAAGACAGATAACCTAAGTGAAGGAAACATGACATAATGAATTACATCAGTATGACCTGACCCATACTGGGAACTACAACATACATCTAGACTCTAGAGCACATTAACATTGTCTCTAACTGTCTGCAGATTCTACATGGTTTTAAGTATCGTCTTCACTTCGGGCTCGAGGAATACACTTTAAACTTCAAAAGTTGATTATGTCATCACATACACTTTAAACTTCAGAAGTTGCTTATGTCATCACACAGAAAGAAAGTTCATAAGACCGTAATTCCAAAAAATTGCATGCATATGGGTTAAACAAAGAATTGAAAAGCTCTGATTAAAATGATCAAGCAGAATAAAACATATGTCAGTTGATCGCCTAAATATATATTCCGGTTTTACTGTATTCTGAACCAAGTATAGAATAACCCAATCAGTATGATAGTGCAAAAAGCATAATTAGATGCCATAATGATTCAGTTGTAAATATATTCTCAGAGACCCGGGCACAATGATTTAGTTGCAAAACACTTTAAGAGACTAAAACACCAATGAAGCCATTTTATAACTTGATCTCACAAAATGATTTTTCCAACCTGTATGCAGCGTTCAAATAGGTGATATGAGGCAAAAGTTTATTTGCATCTGGGTAAGACAAGATTAAGAATTTCCACCAAAATTCCTAAAAAGCTTTATTAACTCCATCACAGGGATATAAAAAACCATAACAAATACCAAAAATCAATGGATTATCCAAACTACAGTTCTAGACTGCAAAATATCATCTCAGCCAACTGAGTGATAATATAAAGTGTATTGAATGACTGGGCTCTTAATTAACAATAGGAGTTTTTTGGGTTCTAGGAAAGTAATATTACCAAGGATAACAAAAAAAAAAAAAAATCTACACTGATTAGAAAAAACCAAAAAACTCTGAAGTACTAGCAAGGGTCAATTTCAAAATGGAAACTGAGATGATTTTCTACTTCAGAATAACATAACACGTGTTAAGAATCTCACATGCAGAATTCTGATGTCCTAACAAGTTAATGAAACGTTGAGGTACCTCGATCTTCAAGACATCCTTTGCCAATGCAAATCGAAGTCGTTCAGTTTCCTGAAAGTTAATGGCAAGTAAATCAAAAATCTGGGTTGTCAGATATACCATGAGAAGTGAAAAAACACATACAAAAAACTTAACCATTACTCAAATATAGCTTCTATTCTGTTCTTGCAATTTAAAAAAAAAATCCATAAAAAAGAGCTCAAAATCTTTTATGGTTTCCAGAATGACATTGAATAACAAAACGACATTAGAAAGTCAAATACGTGACTCCTTTCCATAATCTTGAAAGAACATGAGGTGTACGTAATTTGACGGATGAAATCCACAAGTAGACGACTAATATAGCAACAACTAACAGATTGAATTGCAAAAAAAAGGATCGGAGCTGCTTTGGGTAGATATTATTGATGCATACACCACTAAAAAGAAAGCAGACATAAAACAAAGTATGCACCACCATAAGCAAATAACATTCCAGTTACATAAAAATGAAAATTTGTGAGAAGGGAATACCTCATATGGCCAGCCATCAACAACAAAAACATCTAAGGAATAGCCATCTACTGTTGAAAAAGCATGTGCTTCCTGGATGTTCAGCCCAACCTCAGCTAGTAAGGAAGTCAACTGCAAATTTTGCACAATAAGAAGTTCACTAAATCCACATTCCGCAATTTTGGTAGTATAGCTGCTATAGTAACCACTACCAATGTAGGCATGTGGAAACATACACAACCCTACATCCGCACCTGCTCTCCCCCAGGGGAAGAGGGGTTGTTGAAGAGCAGAAAAATATCTCACAGAACAGAGAGGGAAAGAGGGGAAGGGCAGGCTTATTTAGTATTACATCTACATTTCCAAATGGTCAGAAAAGTTTTCCACTCAACCTAATAGCATGGTGTAAATATATCATTCTTCTAAGTGAAACAGATCCTTGTTAAATTTGACACTTTCACCACGTAGCCAAGAATTACTTGTCCTTAGTTACATTATTTTCTTGACATAGCCTTTGGCTCTCCCTTTTGCTCCCCATCAAAGAGAAAGAGAGAGGACCAAGTATACACATATTTAATGCTCGAGGTTGACACTTTTTCCGCTTTGCTCACAAATGGGACACAATTGGCAAAAAGGAAAATTTTGGCCACCGGCTTGAGACATGCACACATCAGAATGTTTGAGGGTTCAACACATTCCACACACCAAAGAGCACGTTTTGCAAATCTCAAATGGATTATTTTGTACGCCAGATAGAATTAAAGTTTCACGAAGTAAACAAAACTTTTCAAGAACCCAACTTCTTATTTCTTGAGATCTCCAATAGCATCTTTCTTGCGAACTGGTTAAACCAAAAATGTCACTAACCCCAACACAAATTCTTATAATTTTCTAAGACAATGTAAGGCAAAAAATGTGCTAATTAAAAGTAGAATACATATTGTACGTTTCTCGAGTCATGCCTTGCTCAGCAAGAATAGTGGAAATGTGGAGCTAACATCTAAATATCTACTTCAAAGAATGTTAAAGGGCTTTCTTATGAATGAAAAGCAGAAGGCCATCAAAAAACAGAAGGCATCTTTCTACTTCTAGACCAATATATTTAATCAATTAAAACTTGCGAGCACACAATGATCCAGTTTCCTCTTCCCTAAGTAACCATCATTGAGAAAAGCAGGCAGGATAGAGACCATATGCCTTCTTGATTGCAAATAACACATTGAGTCTCAGATGTTCGCATTCTGTTAGGTATTACATATGCTAATTGGAGAAAGGACGTATCACGATTACGTATTTTAACCATTCATCCAAGCAATACACAATTAATAATAACATGAAGATATGAGTCGTATAATAGAATAAGCAAGTATATTAATGACCTGACTGAGGAGCTTTGGCTTGTCATCTGTTGAAAAGGTGATTTCATGCATGATCCTACATAATAATCAATTACATAAAACAGCAAGCTATTAATTACAAGCCGGTGAAAGTACTTTCTCCATATAACGTAATCCATATACATTCATAAAGGTGAGTGTAAAGCTTTGCTAAAAACAGTAATAACCAACAGCTTATAAAGTTATATGAACTCAAAACTGAACACCACTAGCTATATCTGTTATGCTTTGAGTTTCTTTCCTTTATCTCACTGATTTTTTTTCCATTTTTTTTTGTATGGATAACTGTTTTGTGGCTTCCTTTACAAGAAAATGTCACTTGGGTGGGTGGGTGGGGGGGGGGGGGGGGTGGAGAGGAGTAAAGAGTCTGCATTTGGTGATTTTGAATTGTTTAGTTTTTTCATTATCATCCAATTTTTCCCTTAGCCTCCCATAATCGAATTAGGAGCTATAGTCTCCTCTCTGGCTTCCACCTACTTGTACATTTTACAACTATTACTGAAGAACGAAAACTCTATTACTTTTCAAAACAAAAAATGAATCAACAACATGGTCATTAAGATCTAATCCATCACTTTTTGCACAAGATATAAAATCGGTTAGGCATCTAACAATTGAGGTCAAGGGCATCAGACAAGTTGGAAGCATAATAATTACTATCAAAAGAAAAGAAAAGATGGGAGGAAGATAATAGGAAACAACTGCTGTCTTCTTTTCCAATGACTCAAGAAATTTGAGACTTGAGAGTCTCACTTGCTGAAATTAACACAGCAGGCAAAAGCAAGCAAAGGGAAATGCAATCAAAAGAACATCATTTGATAACTGTGGAGAAATTGAAGTTCACGTGTCCTTTGAGATCTCTGGAAGCACCAATACAGGCTTTTTGCTGATAAGGAAATTTGTGGAGTAAGACAAGATCAAAACTAAGAAAATATCAATAATATACCGGGAGAACTTTAGACGACCATGTACGACACTGTCCCCATCTTCAACTTGAGCTTTGTTTGCTTCAAGTGCAAGGGCTTCAAGATTAGGAGATGAACCAAAGGCTGGTGGCGGATGAATGCTGACATATTGAAAGCAAGGCGTACAGGTTTCAGTAATCATATAAAATTATGAGAAATCATAGTAAGGGTGGACTGAACAACAAAATAAAAGCAGGATAATTAAATAAATTACATTCAAAGGAAACTTGGGCATGACAACTGAACTACATTCAGTCAAGAAATTCAGTAGAAAAAATTTCTTTAAAAGAATCTCTCAAAATCAATACCTTTGAGCAACTTCCTTTCTTGGCGAGTTAGAAGGAGACACGCCTGTGTTTCCATCACAGATAGGAAGAACCTAAGAAAGAAAGTGATTCCAAAATTATTAGTCCAACCAGGAAAGTGTAGACATGTTCTAACAGCACCCCAAACCCACCACCCCCACCTCCACCCCCCAACCGAGAAAATAAAAAAATAATAACAAAGTAGTTAGCAGAAAAAGAAAAAATTCCTGCAAATATAGTGAACGAAATTACCTAACAAGGAAAATTAAGAAAACCACTACATCCCCAAGGGAAAACAAATGAACAAACTGCATGGGAGAAAGTGATTGGCAATTCAATAAACCAATAAAAATTCTGATTCAGAACTCCAAAAGTGTAGATAAGGTGGTACACAAAAGTGGTGCATATATCATTATTGTAACTTTTTTTTTATCAGACATTATTGTAACTCAAATAATATGTTTTGGGTATGTTAATCCTGTGTCGTAGTGGACATGAGGAACGTCAAGTTATGCAATAAATGCAGAATCCATTCCTTGGTAATGCTGAGGTGGAAGTCTTATCAAATCAACATACCTGAACTAGGTGGACTTCAAAGGCAGGTCTATTCGCAGGATCCTGAGCCAAATGCAACAACCTCTTATGGGTGAGAACATCTTCCGCCCTTTCCACATTCACATCCAATGCATACCTTCGATGGACAAAATTAAATGCCCCAACACAATCAGTGAACTCAAAAAATTGTCCGATTATCAGTCCGATCTATTAAATAGCAGTACCAAACCTGTGTTGTGTGTGTGTGTGTGTGTTTGTGTGTGCATGTAATATCATCCATTGTGCTGCCATTATTTGAAAAGGAAGTACAAACAACAAAGAATGATTTTAATCCATTATACTCAGCTTAAATACAGACACTATAAGAATGCTCTACCATTTAATTACATTTATTTTCAACGAAAAAAAATTGAAAGAAAAAAAAAACAGAAAAAACTTTTAATAGACAAACTGCAAAACCTAATCAATGAATAAATATTGACCAAAAAAAATCAATGACGAAAAGATTCAAGAAAGATCTTGATCAAATAAATACAAAGCATTTACCAGTACAACTTATGAAAGCAATCAAGATCACAGCAGACATGTACAAACATGTATATATCTATACACATAAATAGTTACGTATACTCGCATCTACCTGTTCTATGTAGAATACGGAAGGGTAGAGAAAGAGAAAGGTAGGGTAAAGTAAAGTTACCGAGTGGGAAGACGATTGAAGTGAGCCCAAAGTTCATGGTCGAAGCCAGGCTCATTAGCCTCCAGGTTATTCGAATCTTTAAGCCTACGAAGAACCTCATTGTAAACCTCAAGTTTCTTTCTCTGTTGCCGAGTGTTCACGGGCATCGATTCCACCGCCCTACTACTAATCTCGGCGTCCTCCATCACCATTTGATCAATAACAAGAAAAAGATCAAAAGAGAAGATATCAAAAAAGAAGATCACGTGAAAACGTCGATTTCCGAAACTTTAAGGCTATTTCACGGTTCTACGTGAAGTCGATTTCGAGAGAGAGAGAGAGAGAGAGAGAGAGAGGGAGGGAGGGAGGAGGTCCATATGGAGATAACAGGTTTGAGGAAGCTATATATACATGTGTAGCCGTTGGTATTCTAAAGATGGGAAGTGGTTCGGTACCTATAAAGATAAACAAAAGTGGTGCTGTTTGCAGGAGGTCTGCACTGGTTCCTCCTTCGTGTCCGTCAGCCTCTTTATTTTGCTCTAGATGTATTATCTACTAAATTACAATGTTGGATAATTCAAGCATTGCTTCTGACTTTAATTTACCCATACAAATTCTTACTATTTTGTTGATGAAAAATATATAAGAAATTGTTGATCCTCAAATAATGTTTTAGTATTGCAAAGAATTAATTGTCAATACATAAACTAAGGTTGACCAAAAATTAATTTTTCACCTTCTTATTATTATTATTATTATTATTTTTGTTATCAATTGAACCCCTAGTAAAATTTATATTTTATGACATAATAATGGCAATTAAAAATTTGTTTTCTTGTAAGGTGGAGTGGAGGTGTACGAGGTGATGAGCAGAACTTTTTTAGAGATGCTAGTGTTGGTATGATCCATTCTCATGGTGATGCAAGTTAGTTTAAGAGATAAGATAGCTTTATTAGTAAATACACTAATCTCACGAGCTAAACATGAAAAGCGTGGGTTTACATGGTAACAGCTTGATTAGTTTAACATGGCAATATGATAGGAACATGGTGGCACTGGTGAGTCGTATGTTGTCATCCCCTGCTGGCCTGGCCTGGCCCTGCCCTGCCCTGCCCTTGGTCAATTCAAGTTTCGAAAGTGGGCCCCCCATGTTGTGACTGCAAATCAATACTGGGAAGTCCTCATTCATGGGGATTTGGATAAATTAATTTCTTTTTCATATTAAAAAAATAATAAGGATAACAAGTGTTAAGTTTTTTATCATTCTCACGTCGGATTAATTTTCCGCATAACCTACCTTAGGCTATCATCACTGCACTATAATTTATTTAACCATAAAGTTTGGGATGGATTGGTGAGATTTCAAATTATCTGACATTTAGATTAGGAGATGTATTTATATTTAGAGAATAAATTGTCAATTGTAATTTTATATCGATAATTAGAGCTTTAAAATACTTAACTGATAATGTAAATTGTCAATGGTTCCCCAATAATCATTTGTGGGGAAAATAAGGGGAATTTCATTTTACATCTAGAAAGATGTAGAGTGTTTGATTTGCGTTTCAAAAAATAGTATCTGAAAACAGTTTTTAAAAATAGTATTAAGAAAGTGTTTTCAAAAATTTTTAAATTATAAAATTTGTTTGGTTATATATTTTTAAAAATAGTTTTAAAGAACAAAAATTATAAAATCTATTTGAACAATATTCACAATTCTCACCTCTCTTTCATTCCTCTCTCTCTGTCTCCACAAAACACACTCACACACACACACATACATGCACACACAAAACACACACACACACACAGATTTGTAGTTGTTGCGACAGATAGAGGTAGACGTTGGGCAGTGACGCACAATGAAGACGTTGAAGAAGAAGAGCTGGGCAAAGTGAAGAGAGGGAGAGAAAAAAAAGAAGAAGAAGAAGACGTTGTTTGCTGTTAAGGAGACTCGAAGTGCAGACCTTATTTATCTTGTTTTAGCATGTCTTTGTGTTTTCAAAATTTTCAAAGAAAAATGTGAAAACAAATTTAACTTGTTTTCTGTTTTTATGCTCCAAATCTCTTTTTTTTTTTGAAATTTTTGAGAACAAAAATGCTAAACAAATAAGTTTTTGGTATTTTTGAAATTTTGAAAATAAAAAACTGTTTTTCAAATGATAACCAAACACGCCCTTAGATTTTTTTTTTTTTTTTTTTTTGTACCCATAAAGATAAGATTTCTCATATTATACTCTTAATATATAAAAAATATTATACTTTCATTAGTTTCTCTTGCTTATTTTGTCAAAATCTATCCTATTAACGTTGATTAAATGAGTAATGAAAATTAATAAAAGAGCAAAATTATAATATTTTTAATACGTTAAGGGAATAATATAAATAATCTAATCTTTGAAGTATAAAATAAAAATATTTAAATCTTTTAGAAGGTGAAATGTAATTCGCTCTTAAAAATATATGGGGTTGTTTTCGAATTAACGACAAACTTAGAGATTTGCCAATATGTGACGGGGGGGGGGGGGGGGGAAGCCACTAATCTACACGTGGCCAGGAACAGGAAGCATCTTAATTTATTGCATAACTAAACTAACACAGAGGACTTTGGATTCGCATGAAAAAAACGAATAAACCGTTGCTGGTTTAAGATTATCGCGACAGTTCATCACATGCAGTAAAATAAACTAAAATGTCAAAAAAATTGCAATTATATATAATAATGCAAGTTTTAATTTAATAAGAACCGACTCGAATCAATATGGAATAAACTTTTTTGTTCAAAGTTATCTGAATTAAGTCTCAATGTGTTGATGTGTACATTGTTACAAACTTCGATGACAAATGAATCGAGACTATAATTATTTTTTATTAATCGAATCGAGACAAGAATTAATAGAAATTTAAAAGCACGAAGTTGGTTTGTGAATTTAATTATGTTCAGCAACTTAAGCATACAGTATATCCGCATCAAATTATAGTACACCACTTTGAGTTAGAGCTTCTTTTTTTTTTCCCTAAACAATTTGTTAAAATTGTGATTAATAGAAATTAATTAGAAGCACAAAGTTGGTATGTGAAATTTATTCTGTTTAACGACATAAGTATATAGTACATTCGCATCAAAATATAGTAGCACTATTTTGAGCTTGGGAGAAGACTTTGATGAGATTGAGAACATGACTTGCTCTAACAGATGTTTTAAATCAGACAATTTGAAAACAGATATAAATAAAAAAAAATAGAGAAACTAAAAAAGAAAAAAATTATGTTTTTTCAAGGAAATTTAGAGATAGGAAATAGAATATCACCGAACAGCTTAACAAAGTCCCCACCTAAATTTCGATAGTAATTTTCCTAAACAATTTGTCCATCCTCATAGGCTTAGTATTCATCCCTAAAAACAGAAAACGGAAGGAAAAGAAGAAACTCTTTTGTACAAATCCATTCGAAGGGTATATTCGACTTTATAATGTGTATTTTGGTGGTTGGGTGGGAAAAGGGTGGTACGGTATGTGGATCATGCTAATCTGAAATGGTGGCGTGTCATGGATGACACGTGGAGGAATGGAAAATGTCGACGTGGCAAAAGTGGCCTTTGGAAACTTTAAAGGGCGGGTCAATACATAATATAAACAAACTATAAATTCAAATATTCTAAGTTTAAATTTTAATAATTTTTTAAAATTAGACAATATTAAGAGATTTATGTTTCAATGAATATCTTAATTTTGATATGAATGACCTGATTTTAATTAAATTAAAAAAAATTAATTAAAAAATATGTAAGTTAACACGAATTTCCTTCACCATTGAAAAAAAAAAAAAAAAAGTGGCCTTTGGGAGTCACCAGGGGTCAGTAAACACAGAAGCGGCGATTGGTGTATTTTTATATTGTTTATCGAGAGAGATGAAGGTTGGGTTGGATTTGGATTAGACCCAACATTAACAACAACATTTGCCAGCGCAAGCGGCGATTGGTTGCCGAGGGAATAGCCGTCAGAATATGCGACTTCGGAGGTCAAAAGTAAACCCCCCATGCCCATGCCTTTGGTAGGAAATAATAATCATATATTTATTACACACAATATTATATATGTCCGATACCTTATCTAAACCCCACGATTTCAATTCATTAGGTAGTGAGATAAAGAGGACCCAAGTGGATAGATGCTTTTGTTTAGTGTCGGGCTGGTGAGAAATCAATTATATATATATATATATATATATTAATTTGATTCTAATATAAATTTGATTAATCAAAATTCATGTTTTCAGATGAGTGTTTAATTCATAAACAATTTTGATATATATATAATTTATAAAAGTCAAATTAATTAAATATTCAAAATTAATTCAACTAAATTTTTTAAAAATATTTTTATATAGTGTCGTTGTGTACAATGTACGAAATGTTCAACGTCTCTCGTTATAAATCCTACAACTCTTATTGCCATTTTCACTGTCATCGTCACTTCCACCCCATACTGCAACCCTCTCCCTAAGTCTAGTATTATTGAAAAATTACATATTACTGTACTAAATTAAAGAGGATAAAAATTTAAAATTTAAATAAATATTGTGAAAGTAATTACATAAACCAAATGGAATGATCTAATTCATCAATACGGTGATGTTAAATAATTTAACATCATAAAAAATTATTACTTGATGAGAAAAGATAGACGAGGGTAGTGGGGAGTTGGAATGGGGAGTTTAGTAATAATGGTAACAGGAATTAGAGACCGACATGTGTAAATTAAAATATATTTAAAAAATAAAAAATTCTAAAAATTAGTATCTAAGATTTAGAGCTAATACCACAAATTACATTGAAATATGATATAAAGAATATTAACGTTTAAACCAAAATTAATAATATCTAATGGATCGAAACTGGTGTAGCACATTATCTAGGGGTGCAACTCGGGCGGGTTATCTTAATTCTCTCATCTCTTGAACCTATTCATCCCAGATCCAAAATAGAAATGACCCCCCCAGGCAGAATTCTTCTCGGTTGTAAGACACATTCAAATTCAATATAAGTTCCCAAAATATAAATAAAGACAACAAAAAAAATTAAAGGGGGGTCAAACTTTTTGTTCTTGAATTGAATGATTCTCTTCGGATAATTCATCCAACCCAAGGATATCTATAATGTCTTGAAATTCTTTGTAATTGCAAAGTTTGCTAGCTTGAGAGGTTAACCCTAACCCAACTCTAAGTATATATTTTTCAACCCTAATCTTAAACCTAACTCTACCACAACTCGTAGTACTCAATCTGAGTACTACCTAAGTTTAATTCGGGACAGACTCAAGTTGATTTAAGGTTATTTAATTTGGGCTAATTTCAGGTTAAGAATCGAATTGCCTTGGATTACTTAATTCAGATTAATTTTTGAAGTGTAAATTTGATTTTTTCAAGTGTAGATCTGATTTTTTTCAAGTGATCTAAGATAAAAGATGAGACGCAAATGAAAAGAGAGGAAGTGAGAGAAGGAGGAGTGACAAGTGAAAAAAGGAGGGCGAAATGACTTAGACAAGTGACAAATAAGAGAAAGAGGTTGAGAGTCTGAGACGACTTAGAAAAGTGAAGATTGAGAGAGGGAGGAGTGACGAGTGAGAGGGATTTGAGAGTGATGGAGACGTAGGGATAAAAACTTGAAGTAAAGTGAAAATTTGGATTCTAAAGAGTAAAAATAAATATTAATCCTAATTAAATATATTTATATATTTATGTATATTTAGATGCAACCCGATTTTAATATTCAGGTTGAACTTGACAAATCAACGCCTTAACTCGAGACTTGTCTAAATTCAATTTGATTTATAATTTTTTTGTCCAAATTTAACTCAAATATTAAAAATTTTAATCTAAACTCTATTTTTGTTGGAGTTTGATTAAATTCGAGGTACTCCGCCAAAATTACAGCTCAAGCATTACTTAACTTTCCATGTTAAACTTGAGTGGGGTCCAATTCAAGTGAAGTTGTCACTGTCATCTCCACATCAACACGACCTAATCCCTTTTTGAGTTTGAGAGCACGGGGTACAGGTGGGGATACTTATTACTTATTACTTTTGGATTTGTTTTTTCTACCACTGGAAGATAATTAGAAACCCTTTATTTTATTTAAATTCATAATCGATAAGAAGATTATCAAAAAATATATACTGAAATAGATATAAACTGTTCTTATTTTGATCTTTTTTCATATTAGAGAGTAACATTATCATTATTGAGTAGACATGCAATTTAATTTGGTCGACCCAAAAAAACAAATCACTTGGACCAAAAGTAGTTTGGTTCTAACATAATTCAGTTCAATTTTTTTTATCATTAGTGTACGAGAAATTAATATAAGTATTCTCCATTTTTTTTTCCTCCAAGAATCACCACCGTGACGTGAGTCTATAGGATATGCTAAAAAAAACCCGCTTGATGCATGAAAAATAAATACAATTCTAGGCATGCAATTCTAAGTTGAAAAATACAATGGTTAGAAAAAAATTCAGACATTAAATTTAAAAAAAAGAGAAAACATTTACCACCATTTATCATAAAGAATAAAATTCAATCGCATTTAAACATTGTTTAGTAAAAGAGATTGGTTCATTGAATCTGGACATATTTCAAGTTTATTGAACACTGAAAGTCACACTCCTTTTCCCTAGTTAGTTATTATTATCATACAAATTAAGACGGATAATTAAGCCGAATTATTGGTTCATTGAATCGGGACAAAATTCAAGTTTATTGAATGCTAAGAGTCACACTCCCTCTCCCTAGTTAGTTATTATTATCATAAAAATTAAGGCAGATAATTAAGCCGAGTTATTGGTTCATTGAATCTGGACAGATTTCAAGTTCATTGAATGCTGAGAGTCACCCTCTTTCCCTAGTTAGTTATTATTATCATAAAAATTAGGGCGGATAATTGAGTTAAACAATTCAAGTTTGGCTTAGGCTCGACTTAGATAGAATTAAATTCGAACTAGTCTCGTATTTTAAATGAACCGAGTTTAAACAATTTTTTAAACTTATTTAAAAAACGAGCCTAAAAAATTCGGCTCGAATTCGCAAAACTCGGTTCAAGCTCGCAAAACTCAGATCAAGCTAACAAAATTCAGCTCGTTTATATGTAAAATAGTTGAGCTACTCAAACTCAATTCATTTTGGGCTCGACTCATTTTATAAACAAGTCAAACTTAAATAATTTTTTATGCTCGTTTAAAATAATAAAATCTGTCTCGACAGACTCGCCTCGATTCCGATTGTCAATAAAAATGTTGCATGGGTGTGAAATATCCAATACTCGTGTTGGAAAGGCATTCCTACTACTATCTATCACGTCTTACAATTACAAGGTAAAAGCAATCGACATGATTCAACAGCCACACGATTCAACTGTGAACACTGAACAATCATATTAAGCCTTAGAGCAACTCCCAAATGGAGATGTCATTTTGGGGTGTCAATTTATTCATTTATAATCTTGAACAGTGTTTTGACACTCAAAAATTATAAATCTGTTTCAATGGCAAGTGCAAAATAAGGTGCCATTTTTATATTTTTATTTATCAATTTATATGAATTATTAGATCTATATTCATCAACCATTTACAACCCAAGAGCCTTGATCCTATATTCCAACAACCACCCCCCCCCCCCTCCGCGTTCTTTGAGCCAAAAATTTTGAATTTGGAGTGGCACCTCCATATGCCACCAAAAGTAAGTAACTTTCTAGTAAGGCAGTGTGACAAATGTTTCGGCAGGACTTGATAGAAACCATCGAAAAATGTCATATACAAAATATGGGGTTTATATACAAGGTTTTTTCATGGAAACTTTGCATCACAGCTTACATAGATACTTTATAGTTGTCATCTTGTTTAGGAAAAATAATTACAGAGGAACTTGATACAACTAGACTGCACAGGTTACATAATATAGCCAGATACATACAATATTAAAATACAACTAATCTAAAACAGACTCACAGTGATCCACCACAAGCTTAACAAACAAACATCTTGCAAATTACTCCAGTTCTGCATTATTTTCAGCTTCTTCCATCTCTTCATCATCAATCCCGTTTTCTCCATCAAGAAGCCATTGTTCTAGTTCATCAACTTCTTCATAGTCGTGCATGTACAGATCATCCGAATAATCCCACTGATCAGTCCCCAGCTCCTCACCACGATACGCGACATGCAAGAATGGTCTACTTCTGGCTAAAACATCTACCATATCCCTATTTACGCTTCCACTCACTCCCAACCATCTCAACACAGGGAAATAAGGCTTCTTTAACCACCGGAATGCAAGTTGTGTAATTCCGCCACAGTTATAAATATCCAACAGCCGTAAGCTACTTCCATGCCACCTGCCCTCATCAACTTGCATTGAGGCTAATGCAATGACCGTAATGTCGCCTATAAGTGGGCATTGTCGCATTCGAAGCTCAACTATTGGGACACGACTTTTTGCAAGCAACAACAAACCAGCATCAGATAGGTTAGGAAGATTTGATAGGTCCAATTCTCGCAACTCTAGGTTACATGAGCAATCAAATAGAAAAGAGACGCATTTGTCCGTAAGTCTTTTGCACCCTCTAACGGATAGTGAAACAAGCGAACTCCTTACACCTCGTTTTAGGTATGACAATCCCAAATCACTTATATCAGCGCCGTCTATCAGCAATGTTTTCAGTTTAGGGAGACTGCTAATGGCTCGAAGGGCTTCATCACCAAGGCTTCTACAATCTCTCAAGTCAAGAACGCTTAGATCCATGTTAGATGCCAATCGGATGACAGAGAGGTTTGTCAAAAGATTACACCATCTGAAGCTAACATGTGTCAGTGAAAGGGAAGTGGCATCAATGTCATGAAATACCAGATCAGTTAGGTGAGCTCCATGAGACACCCTGAGCCTGTATAAGCTGGTGCAAGAATGCAAGATTGTTTTGAAACCTGTATCCGTGACCTGACAAAAGCCACCAAGACATATACTTTCTACGCTTGAGCATCTATCAGCCATAAAGAGGACCCCAAGATCATTAACTCGCTTAAAGTATGTAACGACAAACTCCTGGCTTCGGACCAAAGAAAGGTGTTTCAATTTCCCATGTGGATTAATTTGTTGAAGGCCAGAGTTGGTGAGGTCAAATGCAACTGTGGGTTCTATAATGGGTGCATCACGAAGATCCAAATGGGTCAAGGAGGTGAGTTTTTTAGCTATCGTACTGACCATAGTGTCAGTAATATAGTCCACTGAAAGGCACAATTTCCGGATACTTGGCAATACTGATGACCGAATCTGATTTTGTGAATGGTAAGGCCCTGCAGTTGGGCTAAGCAGTTCAGTCACCATTACTGAAGAAACGTACCCTATCTCAAGAGAAGTGAGTTTTGCAGAAGCCACAGCCCAGACATGAGCAAAATTGTGTCGAAGAAAGATTGAGACATCAAACATGAGGATCAATGTCTACAAAACAATACAAGAAGTTGAGATAACCTGCATAAAATGAATTCCGAAGGGAACATGCTGAAAGTATAAACAATTATGATGACATCCAAAGAAATTGCCATGCGGTTCCTAATGCACTTTTTTGCATACATATTTATTACAAGCTATACAAATTATCAAGTATGTGGGCCTGGAGAGGTAACACAGTCAAAAGAAGAAAAATGAGGACGAATACCAGTTAAAGAGATTAATGTTTCCCACAACAGGTAAGACAAAGCAACCACTAGCTAGCGAGCAGTTAGCGGCAATCTTCAACCACAACAGGTTTACATCAAGGGTTGGCATTGAGCCACGATATCTATTATCTAGATAAAGATGATTTTAGAATAATAACTCCCTCAATCAGATGAGGCAGAAAACAAGAGTTATGTAGCTGATCCTAAGGAAGTTGCATTGATGGATATGGAAGATATTTACGTAAACTGAAATTTTCAATTAACAAAAAAATAACAATACTGGACCCTAAAAGCAATATTGTGCTGATTTTATTACTGTAAATGCCACTTTAAAATTGGCTAAATGAATACCTCTGATAGTAAACGTAAGTGCAAAACATTTACACCCTAAAAAACAACCATATTAAAAGTTTAATTATTTCTTATTATTGTAACTATGGTAGGCACATTTCATCAATGAGTGACTACTTTGTTTGGTCTTGTGAGAAAGGGTATCAGTTTAGTCAAGCCAAGGGTCTTCCCAAGATCACTCGGTCCGAGATCTGAGGCAAATGAATCTCTTCCCAGCACCACTTATTTACTGTGACCAGTGAACCAGGGAAGCTTTGGGAAAAATGGTACTTTACCTAGGTGTATTTCACCATAACACTCACCCGGACAAGTCACAGCTCATAATAAGATGGACTTACCAACACATCCTAGTATATTACGAACAAACAACCATCTAGTTTAACCCAAATATGGAAGGTAATATGATACTCCCATGAAGTCACAATGGCAATGAACTACAAGTTAATACCCACTCGGACACTCTGTTATTACACCAATTCATCTAACCTATCTCAAAAATCCAATTCCAAAAGTTTGGCTATTTAATAGTTAATTATCATATCTAGTTCGATATTTGATAAGCCATTCTTGCAATGGAAACCTTACTTCCAATTGAGCGCAACCACCGAGTAACTCCTCAAGGTCAGATACATGAATTGATCTCCCTCTTTTATCAGCTACTGAACTCAAGTATAAAGACCTGAAGAAAAAGTCAATACAACAACGAAGCTAATAACAGCATCACTTGACTTGCAATGAGATTCACAGCTTCAACACAAAACAAGTGCAAAAATTCACAGTGCATGATCAACTTTACCTTCCATGTAATAAAGTTAACAAAAAGAACACAGCTTTACGGAAGAGCAATTCGAAAAAAACGTGAGGTGTTCCACAGAGCAGAATAAACCGTATCTACACCATTATTATTGACAAGGATTGGGCGTTCTCTATAGATAGATAGAGATATATTACAAAATACGTATTAACAAGAGAATTCAAGAAAAAGGATTGACCTGAGGTCTTTGCATCGACCTCCAACCTCAGAAAGAAGCTTGCCACTAAAATCGGCGCAATTATGGAGACATAGCTCCTCCAAAGAAGGCCGAAGGAGATGATCAATCGCCGAATCATCGAGCCGAGCACAATCGACTCTGAGGCTTCGAAGGTAAGGGTTCGGAGGCAATAAGGGTTTCAACAAGTCAATCGTTGGTGAAATGTCCTGAAAACGAAAATCTAATAAAAACCAAAAAATACTGGACACCATCAATAATATCAAACAATGGATAGCATATGTGCTTACGAGGAGGTGAAAATTGGGGAGAAAAGAGAGGATTTGAGAACCGCAGAGATTGAAGGCCTTGCAAGTGGCTGCGAGAGAGCAGATCGAAGGGACATCGAGATTTGTCATGATGGTGGCCACGAGTGCCGTCGGCAGAATATCCAGGCTCTGTAAATTCGTCTCGGAGGACTTGCCCATTGGTCGCCTCTCTCTCTCTCTGCTCACCGATAGGGATATACCATATCGGAATAGACGGATACCGAGGTTTGCTTGTACACCACCGTTTTTTTTCAGTTTTTAGTATTAGGTTTCCTATTAAATTACTGGCTAAAATATTTATTATAATTAAAAGGGCAATAATTTGTACTATAAAAAATTTTAATATATTCACTTTGATTCTTCAAAAGATTAATTTTTTTATATTATAATTTTACCGTATCAAAAATATTATAATGTGACAATTTAGTTAATTATTCGTAAGTTTTTTTGTCATTGTTAATGTGTTAATTTTTGACATAAAAAATAACGGAAGTTAACAAAAATGTCTTATTGTAACATTTTTTGTACATTAAGAGTACAATATAATAAATTTAATTTTTAAGGAACAAAGTAAAAATATTAAAAAAAATTAGGGTAAAAAGTGTGAAAAAGCCCTAATTGAGAAGATAAAATAGAAATATTTTATTGTCATTAGTGTAAAATTAAACATATATAGATAAAAAAATTTGAAGTTAAAAATTTAGAATGGAAGTTGTAGAATAAATCATCAATTTGACTCTTTGTTATATTTTTAAGTCAACAACTTTAGCAAGACATTCTATTTTATAATATATATGTACTTTCAAATTATACGAAGAAGTACTTGAAAATAGTTTTTATCTCTCCACTCAATTTCACTCTCTCTACTTACCCAAAAAAAAAAGAAAAATTCACCCTCTCTTTAGTGTTTGAACTGTAAATACATTTCAAATTATACGAAGAAGTACTTGAAAATAGTTTTTATCTCTCCACTCAATTTCACTCTCTCTACTTACCCAAAAAAAAAAGAAAAATTCACCCTCTCTTTAGTGTTTGAACTGTAAATACATTATTATTCTTCAATTTTCTAATTCTTTGATAATATAAAGTTTAACACATGCTATCATTATTCAACAAGGAAGTGCGACATGTGCCATTTATACATCTCAAGCCTAATATGTCTATCAAATACTACTGTTTAAGCAGTTATTATGTTGAATCAAATACGCCATGGGAACACAGCAAAAAATGTCTTAATGGCAACGGTGATGCTCTTTCCCACTGTTCTCCGCCCTTTTTCCAAACCTTACAGGATATGGGTGGTGGGTTGTTTTGTTTTGGTGAGAGAAGGGGTTAAGATAGGGAAAACAAATGCCATGCTAAAAAGCATCTATCATTCAATTTGAAATTATCACGCATAAAGGGTTGTTTAATTTAGGTATTAAGGGATAAATTAGATTAAATTAATTCAATAATAATATATTATTAAATTTGGATGAAGTTATAACGATATGGTAATAATAACGTAGTTTGACAGTTTACATTTTTAGACTTAATGATGTCACAGACTTTAGCTTACAACAAATTGAGTTTTTAGAGATTAAATTTATAAGTTCTAAAGAGCATTACAATGTGGCCTGCAAAATCCATCAATTAAACTCCACCAATACTAAAACTTCTATGAGCAGCATAATCTACAAAGCTGTAGAGGGGTTCTGCTCTCTCACCATACTTCTCAAAACTATCCAACTCCCTCTTAGCCTGTGCTTTGAGATCCTCAGCCACCTCCATAGCCTTCTCCACCCCATACTTCGCCACATAACTCTTACCCTTTTTCTTCTTCTTCTCGTCTTTGTCCTCGCTCTTCAATTTCGCCTCCAACACATCATTAACCACTTGATACAATACTCCAACCGCTCGTCCATACCTTCTTAGCCGCGGAATCTCATCATCCGTAGCACCAGCTAATAGGCCTCCGCAAACAGCTGAGCACTCACCCATTTCACCATATTTTTTTTCTTGGACGAATTCAACTGCGTTGGGCCCACCCTCAAGGTCAACAAACTGACCAGCAGCCATGCCAGTGGACCCCACGGCTCGGGCGATCTCAGCAACAACACGAAGAAGTTGAGTCTCAGGTACAAGGTCCGAAGAGGTATGGGAGACAATGTGACGGAAGCCGAGTGGGAACAAAGCATCACCAGCAAGGATTGCCATGTCAACCCCAAAGATTGTGTGGTTTGAAGGTTGGCCTCTTCGGAATGGATCATTGTCCATGCTTGGCAAGTCATCATGTATCAGTGAAGCAGCATGCACCTATCAAAATACACAGATGGGGAGTAAGAGATCATTATTCAGAATTCCAGGTGCATCATTTAGTGTGGAACTGGAACATCATGCAGAGTCGAGCAAATTTGAACGATTTGTGTTATTCAAAAGCCTAGTAAACACATACCCAAAATGGATAAAAATAAGATTAACCCTGATGGTGTATTTCAACGTGATGCAATTTTGTGATGACAAGTAAATGAAATAAACAATATTGAAATTATTGAGATCTGAGCTATTAGACTCGAGAAAATGATACTGAGAATTGTTGGAGAGTTGGAGAATTAACACAGTAGAAATATAGTGGTTCACCAGCTCGGGAGCTCGGCTAATCCACTCTTCAATGGAGATTTTTGATCCTTCTTTCACTATTTACTATACCAAAAGGTTTACAGAATGTAAGATGTGATACTAGAATTTTTATTGATAAATAGCTATCTCTTTATTACTTCCGTTGCTGATTCGATTGGGTTGGGTTTTACTTTGGTTTTATGAGCTCTATGCGTTTGACCTCCGCTCTCGAGCTCATACTTGAGAATTGTTCTAAGTATCATCAGTTGCCCCCCAGCTCTTGGTCAAGCTGGCCTGGGCAAGGGCTGAGCTTAAGATGTAGCAGAATGGTTTCCCAATCAGCGACTTCGAAGTTTGCATGGGATTTTTTTTTTTTGCATGTAGGTGCTCCAAACCTGAATCCGCTTGAATTGATGAGGATAGAACAAATGACCCAAGCTGAGCCCATGTCTTTTCCGGATCTCATGACGCCAGATAATCTATTCTTGTTTAGTGCCGCTGCAGTTGAGCGGGATTTTCCATTTTTTTTCTGAATCTGATCTCTCTTCTACCGGGTCTGATGCGAGCGAGGATGCTGAAACTTATATCAAGAAACGCAAGAGGGATGATTCATCCTTTCTTTCATCCAGATCTTTCCTGGGAAAAGTTCTGTTTTCCTCTGCTGGGCAAAAATTGATGGATCTACTGTCAGCGACTGAGAAGGAGAGGGATGAACTGAAAGAGGAGAACCTACGTTTGAAAGAAAGGATAGCCGAGCTGTAGAGACGACTAGGAATTTTGCTTTGATTGGTTAATTTGCAATCTTTGATGTTCTTGAAACCTTATTTTTCCCTTTCCATGTTTGTCGCTTCTTATACACAATTTGTGGCTTTAATAATCTGGCAACTGATCTTCCATGTCGTTTCCTGGCTTGTGGACCAAAGACCCCTATTTTTCCTTTTTGTAATGGATAGAAGCTGTGAAGCTTTCTTTCTAGTCTACATGCTGCAAGTCTTGCTTTTATTTTTTCTGGACCGGGAAGCGCATTCTGAGTTTCAGGGCTCTTTTTATAAATTAATGAGTTCATCGTGAGCTCTAAGGCTCTTATTACGGACTAATGAGTTCGTTGTGAGCTCCCAAGCTCTTTTTATGAACTAACGAGTTCATCGTGAGCTCTTGGGCTTTTTTTATGAACTAACGAGTTCATCATGAGCTCTAAGACTCTTATTACGGACTAACGAGTTCATCATGAGCTTCAAGGCTCTTTTTATGAACTAACGAGTTCATCGTGAGCTCTAAGACTCTTATTAGGGACTAATGAGTTTGTCGTGAGCTCTCGGACTCTTTTTATGAACTAACGAGTTCATCGTGAGCTCTAAGACTCTTATTTACGGACTAATGAGTTCGTCGTGAGCTCCCGGGCTCTTTGTAAGAGTGAATGAGCTACAGACTTGTTGCTTTATTAATAATCATATTACACGATAAACTTACTAAAAAAAATTTCGAAGATGTTCTGCATTCTAGGAGTGGGGTAAAATTTTCGCCGGATCTGCTTTCATCCGGGGTGGCCACCTCAGGAGTTTTTCGTTTTGTGCCTCTTACAAGATTTGCGATATTGTTGCGGTGAGTGGAGGGACCTGCTGAGGTGCGTACCTCAATTGTAACTCTGGATGAGGTGGTTCCAAGCGATCTCTGACGTCTCCCCTTCTTTTAGGAGATCGATCTCTGTCTCTCCTTGAGGACCTATCTCGTCCTCTTTCTTTTCTAGGACTTCGGTCCCTCTTTTTCTCTTCTTTCCCTTTGTCTTTTTGTATGGATGAGCTCCCCACTTTTGAGAGGAGAGTTTCTTCGCCGTTTATGTACTTTTTTGCCTTGGCCAGTACTTCGGCCATGCTGGCCTGGAGATTTTTCAAAATAGAGAACATCAGGTCTTTAGATTGTACGCCTAAACCAACTATGAATGCAGTAAATGACAACTTTCTCGTCTGAAAACATCCACTTTTAGTGATTCAAAGTTGAACCTCTGAACATAAGATCTAAGGTTCTCTTGGGGTCTCTGCTTCACATTCAACAGGTGGTAACTCGATTTTCTGTACGTTTGAGCTCCTATGAAGTGAGATACACAGGATATGGATAGCTCCTTAAAAGAGGAAATTGAGGTAAGGGGGAGCCTATTGAACTACGTCAGGGCTAAGCCTTTCAGCGTGATGTCAAAGGCTCTGCAACGCACTGGATCCTGGTATCCATGCAACTCCATCTGGTTCTTGTAAGTGTTGAGGTGATCTACGGGATCCTTTGTTCCATCAAAAGCCTCTATCTGCAGTACTCTGAATTTCAGAGGGAAGGGAAAATGCGGCACGCTAGTGGTGAACAGAGATTCAGTATGTTGTACCAAGACATTCATCGTAACTAGAGCCTTACCTCTCACGGCTTCCTTCATGTGGCTGAGTTCTTGCTAGATACCCTGGAAGCGCTGCTCTCAGTAATGTTCTCTCCATTCCTGTTGATAGGGGAAAAAATCGTTCCTCTCGTCCCCGTCATCCTGACTTTGTACTTTTTTATTGTGTCCATTCTTGGGGGGTATGCGAGGTTCTGGCCTCATGGTTTGACTGTTTTTCCCTTCTTCGTTGACTTCCCTGAGGGGGTCGAGGTGTGGTTGCTCCCTAGATGGTGGGTTGTTCCGACCTTCTTGAGCCTGTCGCGCCTCTTGTGGACGTTGTAAGAGTTTTAAGAGTTTTTCGTTTTGTTTCAGCAAGCGTTGATTGACGAGGCAAAGGGCCTCCATCTCGTTATTCATGGGGAGACCCCCCACGGGTGGATTGGTCTCTTGAACGTTCTCAGGTTGTCTGCTATTTGTAGCTTCTTGTTGATCTTGCATCCGTGGTAGATTTGTTTGATTTCGGCTCATGTTTCGCATTGATACCATCAGTCACTGAAAGATCAGTTTATTTATAACAGGAACAGTCGTTTTCCACAGACGGCGCCAAATTGAGGGTGTATTTCAACGTGATGCAATTTTGTGATGACGAGTAAATAAAAGAAACAATATTGAAATTATTGGGATTTGAACTACTAGACTCAAGGGAATGATACTGAGAATTGTTGGGGAGTTGGAGAATTAACACAATAGAAATATAGTGGTTCACCAGCTCGAGAGCTCGGCTAATCCACTCTTTAATAGAGATTTTTGCTCCTTCTTTCACTATTTACTATACCAAAAGATTTACAGAATGTAAGATGTGATACTAGGATTTTTGTTGATAAATACCTATCTCTTTATTACTTCCGCTGCTGCTTCGATTGGGCTGGATTTTACTCTGGGTTTATGAGCTCTGTGCGTCTGACCTCCGCTCCCGAGCTCATACTTGAGAATTGCTCTAACTATCATCAAACTCCTTAATTCCGTGTACCAAATTCCAAGTCATGACTTCCTTTCTCTGCACCATTACTGTATTCAGAGATTCATATCAGGTGCAGTGTAGTGTTGCACAAATTTGAGAAGTAGACTAGAGACATCATAAATTATGTTTGTTGTCTGAGTGGCACGTAACTCTAATTGTAACATGTTTGTATTCTCTTGGTTAGTTTTTCAGTGCCCATGAATATCTCTAAGAGACGAGTTAAAGTACACAAAAATTTTAAAATTTAATTATTTTATTCTAAAGTTTTACTCCTATAGAACATCTAAAATAGTATTTTACTAGAGTGACACTCTAAATAAAATAATATGTATAAAGTACTTTATAATATTTTGTCTCTCCTCTTTTCCTTTCCTCCATTCTCTCTCTATTTCCCTCTTACTATTCCTAAAGAAAAATAATACAAAAAGAATGAAAAATATATATAAAGAAAGTAGTTAAAAAAATTATAAGAGTGCGTATTAAAAAAGTGAATAGTTAAAGTAGAAAATATTATAGCTAAACTAATTTTTATTGTTGAAGATGCTCTAAGCAATTTGATTCACGAATCCTTTCCAAATTTTGTAGTAGAAGGAAAATAGAAATGGGATGAAAGAAAAAGATCTGAATCATTCTAAGTTTGATGCCTCGTGATAAGTATCAACCGTGTGGTGCCTATTCTTCATTTTCCCCTGTTTTTGGTTGCTTATGGCCGGCCCTGTTCTACATGTCCAAATTATTGGATGCATTGGATTCACTTACACTTTTTGAAAAAAACAATTTACACCGTCTCTTCAATTCTCTTCTTATCACACCATCTATTATGCATTTAAATGAAATTTATTGTATATAAACGAATATTTTTACTCATTAATGGTGGACAATATGTCTAAAAAAGAATCAAAGAAAAAGTGTTGCGAGAGGATCTCACTCCCAATGTATTGAGACTTTTTCTTCTAGCATCATGCTGCTTTAGTATATTGTTTGGCATCTATCATCTGTAAGATATTCTTTCTTTGCCATGAAATTGAGAACAAAGATCAACTTCATCTAAGCCATAACTTAGAAGTTTGCTATCGTCTTCCAATCAAAAAATTTCATGAATTATTCTTAGGACAGATTCTGAAATATTAATATCATTCATTGGTCATGTCCTAAATATATTACCTTATTTTTTGGGTAAGTTAATAAAAAAATTTATATTTTTGACCTCATGTTTTACTATTGTGTCACAGATTCTACAACTCAACATCAACCGAGAATCCGAACCCATTTAATTTTTGCTAATTCAAATAAAAAAATACCAAATATCTATAAAATAAAACATGATGAACTCAACATCAACCGAGAATCCGAACCCATTTAATTTGTGCTAATTCAAATAAAAAAATACCAAATATGTATAAAATAAAACATGATGAAATAATTTAGGGTTAATCGTATTAGAGGTCTCTAATATTTTAAATTAGGTACCTCTTGAACAAATTTTTATTCAATTTTTTTTCCAAATTTGGGTAGCCAAATTGATTTTTTTTTTCAAAGATGTTATGTTGAAGAATCACATAAAAATATATGCAATAATTTAAAGACTAAAATAATATACTTGAAATATTAAAGATCAAAATGAAATAAATTTTATACTTTATGTATCTTCACTGTAATTAATCCAATATTTAATGGAAGTAAACATCGGGTTTAGATGGATAAAAAGATCAAATACATTAAGAAGTGAACGAACCATTTCGAGGGCGCAGGCGGTGGGGAAGGCGGCGAGGCGGTCGCCACCAAAGAGTTCGCAGGCGGCGACGCACATGACCGGCGGGGCCCTTTTGGCACCTTTAGCCAGAACAGAGTAACGCATGGCCTCATAGATCTGTTGTGGGTACTGAATTTGAATGGCTTCGTCAAGCTTCTGATTAATCTCCGCAATCAGCGTCGTCCAGTACGTTTTGAGATCGAACTGAATCGAAACTGGTGACGAAACAGAAGTAGAAGAAGAGCGAATTGTTCGTCGCGGAATCGTACGGCTCTTTGGAATATAGAGGTGGGAAGATGACGATAGAATTGTGGATAAAGCCATTACTCTTTATCTTCCTTGCACTATATCTGTAATTCTGTGTGATGTGTGTTTGAGTAACTAGGACAACTGAAATTGGGTTTGAAGGATTTAATGGCAGAAAAATGCAAATTTATGTTAGTGGGATACAGGAAGAGGAGACGCTGAGACTGAGAGCATAATGATATGGTGATGGGTAATCAACTTTCAATATATTTTGAGATGATTATTACTGGTCACTCGGTTGTTTTCTCGTTGTCATGACTTTAGTATTTTATTTTTGACTAGTTGTAAAATCAGAAGCAAACAAAAAACACAATAGTTGGCTGACGAAATCATTCCAAGTAGTATTTATTATGAAATTAAATTAAACTAAACTCCAAAGGCCGAAGCCAGCACTTGGCTTGGTGAAAATTTTTAGTGAACATATAAAAACTGGTAGAACTTATTTCTTCAATTTACTTTCCCTTTTAATTTTACATACATTCCTATTACAACAACAACAACATCATAAGATCTTTCACATCACAACAAGAAGAGATGGAGACACGCCTCGCCTCGCCAGCCCAATGAACGTGTGTAGACCGCCAACCGTTACATGTTTGATTGGTAATCCGTGTTACATGTTGATTGGACATCTACATTTTCTTTGCCTTGTTGGTCTCATTAAAGTGCATCAGATCAAGACAAAAAGTGGTGGAATTGGGTTTGGTTTTGGAGGCGGGCACTATCAGGAAACGTGTCCATGAGCTGTTCCATCATCATTAAATTTAAGTTGGGGCTCAGATGCCGCCTTGTACCATGCAAATTGGAACACGCAATGAACTTGTGGATGGGGTTAAAGTTTGAATTCTAGACTTCCACACAATGAGTTAAGCATGAGCATGTTGGTTTTGGTGTTCATACGTTGATGCCAACGTTATTAATTACATAGGGTGCTTTGTGAGTTTTCATGTGCAAACAACACAAACAGTACTATGTGAATGTTTTGGCTACACGAATAGTCTTTATTGGTTGTTAAACACAACAGTCGCGAAAGCAAAAGAGTTGCGTATTGTGCCGAACCTATTTTACTGGTTGTGTTCTGTCCAGAGTTTGAAGAATGATGGAGAAAAACAAGTGTGAATGCAAATTTAAACCTCTTGTATGCATTGTAAGAGCTTTGGAAATTGGTGACAATTTTAAATATATGTTTTAACTCTAACTACATTGGATAATCGTAAGACAGTGTGAAATTTAATAATATTTATTAATATGTATCGTGAATCTACAATAACAAACTTTTGGACCATATTTTTGTACAAGGTGTTCAACAATTAATAGTGACACAAAATTAGAATTAGAAACTAGAAAAGGTACTAATGTGTAATTTTATTGGCCTTTAATTATTTACATCCATTATTTCTCTTACTTATTTCTTATATGGGGCGCATTATCTCGTGTTACATACCAGCTTTGCAAAACTTATTTCGTAGGAGTCAATTCTGAGTATAATTCCTTAAAAAACTAGAGCATGTTGTTTTTACAATTGTGCGGGCAAGATCCTGCACGATATAAGAAACGAGAACAGATCTCTCCCCTGATGAACAACGAGTGAGCCGGTTGAGTGACCAAACACGCTGCTTGGGACAGCCTGCGAGGTACAGTGATAACCTGGAACGGCAACGGGAGATCCTGGGAAAGGAGGAACGATCCTGTAAGGCTGACGGAGGATCCTGGAACAAAGAAGAACAAGTTAGAAGGGCGCCGGAGTGTTTTCCGGCGTATCCCCTCTGACGGTCTAGTCAGTCTTTGAGTGAGAGAGAGGAAGGAGAAAACACTGAGAAAAAGTATTATCGTAGAGAGTGTGCGATTGCCTCCCTGTCTTGCCTTTTGCAAGGAATATTTATACCTTAAAAGCTCATGATTGCTGTCAGTGTGGTCAGTAGGTGATCATTAGGTGCAAGTTGCGTGTGCATTGATTCTGATGAGGGATGTCTTCTCTAATTGACTGCTCGGGGTCCCGAGCAATTAATGCCGAGTCGTCGGTGTGAAGACCCTGGTCCATTACCGGACCCCTGTCTTCCAAGGGCATTCCTCCCATTATCGAGATATCCCGCCCTCCACCAAAGGATTTCGGCTAACCTGCAGGACTCGCCCCACAGTAACCTTTACCTCTGTCCCACATCGGGGAAAGAGTCGTCTCCCCACTCCCATATAAGCCGAAGCACAATATGGAAGCAGTACCCAAGTACCACAGTGTGCTACTTGGGTACTGCTTCCATATTGTGCTTCGGCTTATATGGGAGTGGGGAGACGACTCTTTCCCCGATGTGGGACAGAGGTAAAGGTTACTGTGGGGCGAGTCCTGCAGGTTAGCCGAAATCCTTTGGTGGAGGGCGGGATATCCCGGTAATGGGAGGAATGCCCTTGGAAGACAGGGGTCCGGTAATGGACCAGGGTCTTCACAGTCGGGATGCCGACGGTACAATATGCTTCTGTCGGGGAGGATGCAATAAATGCTCTGTAATAGGAGCATTTATTGCCTTTCACTTCCGAGCCTTACCGCATTGAATGCGGTCTCATCAAGGGAATGGTGCAATTAATTGTTTGCTTTCCCAAGCCGCGTGTCAGCAACGACGTGCAGTTTGTCTATCTTTGATGTGACATCATTTGCCACGCGTCCATCCCTTATTTGCTGTGACTTCTGTATTCCAGTATGTTCTGACATTACTTGTGTAAGACGAGGTCATGATAAGCAGCCTAGACTAGACTAGGCTAGTGACCTGTACGTCAATAGCTTATCTCGGAGTAGACGAAGCGTCCAGGACGGAGTAACTCTCGGCGCCGAGGAAAGACTCGTCTCGGGGACCGAGAGAGGTATGCGACCGAGGTACATAGATGACCGAGGACACGTGTTTGGTTGCAAAAATATACTGAATGCATGATCCTATATATTAGGTACCTCGGGGGCGAGGACATTCGTGCCGATGGCGCTTGATCCAAGCAACAACGTTTTAGCAAACCGAGGATACGTGTCTTCATCATAGGGTTTTTTCAGAAAAGTCCCATCAACTGCCCCCCAGCCTTCGATCTTCTGACACCGAGGACACGCATTGTAAGGAGACGAAGGGTTTTCCAACTACCACCCGTCCTTCATCATGGCCTCGAGCCGCTTTCCTCCGCTTGGGATGTCGTGCGCATTAAATGCGCCGTTTCGGTCTTCGAGCCCAATGATGAAAATTGCCCCTATATAAAGGGGGTTCCTCTCCGGTTTCCTTCGTTTTGCCATTTCAAACTTTCCTCAGAGTACGTCTTATTGGATCTTCGCCGGAGTTCTCGTTTCTTCTGCCATTGTTGACTGCCCTATCTCTCAAAATCACAGAGCCAGCAGACCCATTGTTGATTCCTGAACTTTCTGGAGGGAGTTGTTTTAAAGTTTTTCCAGAAAAAATCCATTTTTGACGTTCGGGTGAGTTTCAGAACCTTCTTTCTTATCGTCCTCCCAGCCTTTTTGTTTTCCGATTTGAACGGTGGTGTCATCTGGTCGACACGTCGTGATTTAAACCCTCGGGAAACTCCCTCAGGGGTTTTCAAGAGCAAATACCATTTTCTCCCCTTTTTTTAGAGATGCCTCGTCGTCGCCCTGCTCCCGAGAATCCTCAGGCTGGTTCCTCGGGTCAGGGAAATACAAGGTGCAAGGGGAGGAGCAGATTGATAGGTTTAGAGCCAAGTACAGCATTCCTCCGTGTGTAGACGTAGTGGATTTTGACCCATCGGTGCACTCATCTATCCTCGGGGCCGAGGATTCCATGCCTTTCTATACCAAGGCCATTATAGAGGGTGGAATTAGGTTTCCTTTACCCCCCTGCTTCTTCAGTTCCTCTCCCGCTTTCGCCTCTTCCCCGGGCAATGCTGCCTCAATGTCTTCCGAATAATCATGGGGGTCTTAGAGCTCAATAGGCGCCTCGGGGTAAATATTGGGCTCAATGACCTCCTTTTCTGTTATTCCCTTCTTAGAGTCATGCCTCACCAACACTTCTACCTCAAAGCCAGGGACCCTTCCATGTACCTTGTAACCCATCTTCCAGACTCGGACAAGGGGTACAAGGACGATATCCTAATCTTCAAGGGATCTTGGTAGAGAGGTGTTGGTCCCGAGTACAATCACTTACTATGCCCTCTGGGATGGAGAACGACAAGTACGTCGGTTCCTTCGGGTTTCTTATTTGTTTCTCGGGACCTCCCATGTTTATGACAACTTTTTTGTTTGTGTAGATATTCCTGCTCGGGAAACAACTCCTCCTCCTCGGTCGCTGGTGAACTTTGCCGACCTAATCACGGTTTGGAGTTTCACGGGTGACAACGGGTTTGGCTGTGCTGCTCATATCCTGCTGAACTATACCCCCGGGTATAAGAAGTTTTCGCAGCTTCCGCAGCCTTTTGAGCCTTCGCAGTGGTCTGAATTCTTCGATCAGGCGGCGAGGCTAGAGGTTGAGAGAGACTTGGAGGAAGACCCGGATCGGGCTTCTGAGGCAGAGGTAGAGGGAGTTGCTGAGGAGCTCGGGGTCAGAGAGGACGCTGTTCCTTCAGACGCCGAGGTGGGGACTCCGGGGGAGACTTGTGGCCAGACTTCCAAATCCTTCAATCTTTGGACGCCGAAGACGCTCTCGAGGCAGCGATGTCTAACGCCCTCGCATTAATTGGGTTCCTTAGGCAGAGGCAAGCCCTCGCAGCCGGGAGAGGTCGAGGGACGACCGGCGGTACCTCTGCGGGGACCAGTTCCGCCACTTCTTCGAGGGTCCTCGGTCGGGGTCAGGTGCGAGACCGGGATCCTCAGGTGGAGGAGGAAAGAAGGGTCAAGCATCGGCATGACGGCCTTAGCCGGGGATCAGGGCACCTCCCGCTCAACAGCAAAGCGGGAGGGATCGGGATACCCCTGCTCCCCCACACCAGCAGGAGCAGCAGCCAACAGCCCCGCAACAGCAACAACAACAGCAGCAGCAGCAGCACACAGCCCAACAGCAGCAACAACAACAGCAGCA